TTGGGAGGGGTCGCGTGACCTCGGCTGGTCACGTGACCTTGGGGTGACCTTGGTTACGGCGACGGCGACGGCGACGCCGACGCCGGTCAAGCCGGAAACGGGCGCCTAAGAGCTGCGCTCTGAAATGTGTGGGTGGACTTGAAGGCATCTAGCACTCTAACAAGAAAGGTATCACCTTACACACTTTGGTCCCACATATTACACCCCAAAAATTAAGTGCGACGTACAGCGCACTACAGTCGAACAGACGGTCTCAAATTTTACAAGGGGCTTGATATATCGGTGCGATGTACCTTATTAAAGAGTTAAAGTACGTATCAGAGACCACAAAAAGAAAACTGAACTTTGGCAGTAGAAAAAAAAAAACCCGATTACTTTTTTTGTAGTAAGTAACACGTCTTTAAATATTTTAATAAGCTGTACCACACCGCCCTCCCTCCTTCTCACCTCGTCACCCTGAGTTACCCCGCCCCCCTTGAGGTCACGTGACCCCCGTGACGTCACGTGACCTCGGGTGGGGGGTGACGTGACCTCACGGTTACGCCAACGCCGACGGCGACGGCGATGGCCAAGGCGATGGCGACGGCGCTAAAGTCGGAAACAGGCGCCTAAAGCGCGAAACACATGTACGACGAAACCGTTCGATCTGACGTGCGGACTGCCGGAATGACCTTGGAGGGGCCGAGGGGGTTTTCGTAGCATCGGAGAGCGTTGAAAACCCTCGCCTCCGACCGTCGTATTGCGCGGTCGGACGTCGGATCGGACGGTTTCGTCGTACATGTGTTTCGCGCTTAAGGGCTCGTTCACACAGCCGGCGTTGCTCCCATCCCGGCACCGTCCGATGGGCGTTCCCGGCAGGGGAGAGGATTTTCGGCCCGGTTTTCGCCGGAAAGCTGTGCCGCTCCTGGTGCCGGGCGTCGTAGGGAGAGCTTCGCTTGCGCGGCCGGTTTGGACACTGTGCTGTCGCGTCCCCACCCTGGCGTGCTCCCGTGACGGTGCCGGGATGGGAGAGGCGCCGGCTGTGTGAATGAGGCCTAGGAGCTGCGCTCTGAAATGGGCCGAAATCGCCGCGGCCACTCGCTGATTCTCGAACAAATGCGTGAGCATTTCGCTTAGCGGTCAAATATAACAAAACATGGTGACTGCAGCCTCTCAGAACTTTTCCGCAGATTAAACATTCCTCAAAAGCCCCTCTTCTCGCTGCTGCAAGCAGATAAGTTCTCTTACCGTGTCCATGAAAGGACAGAGCCCTTTCGTTGTGCGTATTTATTCACCGCGAACACGTCTTTATTACTGCGGCGGATAGATGTGCACATGAGCGGCCTGTGCAGCGTGAAGTCCTCCACATATGTTTGAATGTTATGTACATGGTGAGTGATAGATTAAATCTACAGCGGTGCCGTTGCGCCAAGTGGCTTCGTTAGTGTCTGTGCGCGGCGCGGGAGGTCGAGGAACCCAAACACTGCCCCTGTGCGTCCATACGTCTCCAAAACCGGCAGCAGGAGCTTCCGATGGCGTTCAAGGCACGCACCCGCACCCCGCCCGCCATCTGTCGGCGCTTGCAGAAAGTGTTTCCTAGGCAGTTTCCAGAGCCAGTGCGGCTCTGGCGCCATCCCGTGGCGACGTTGCGAGCTTTGGTTAGTCCGAACGAGTCTAAGTTAAAACAGGTGCTTGGGCAGAAATGCGAACGCATTAAGGGGGAACTGAAGAGAATCTCGAAAAAAAAAAAGATTTAGAGTTAAATTCTAGAGTATTTTTATGCCGCGAGTCTGAATAGTTCGTTTTCCCCGAAGAGGATTCTAAACGCGAGAAAACATGAAAAACCTCCGACTATACCCGTTTTCACCTCAAGAACCGTAGTAAAAAAAGTCCGGCTCCTCGCGGAGCATTACTAATTTCCCTTTTTATGCTGAGAATTGAGATATGTGTAAGTGTATATTAGATTAGATATGTGTTCTCTTATCAAGACGTACACGTTTCAAACGCCAAAAGCACCGCTCCTACGTCCAACGACCAAATTTTGTTTGAGAACTATTTCGCGCGGCGAAATAGTTCTCACACACACAAACACATGAAACATGGAACATGGAGCAAAACTTCCTTTTTTCTTGAGGTGAAAACGGGTATAGTCGTTACGTCATAGAAGCATCTTTCGACCGCCAAGCGCGAGTCGCTTATGCAGGCAGTGCGTGCAATTACAGGCTTGCCAGGTATGTTCCCCCTAACTAACACTAGTCGCGACGCCTTTTCTGACCTTCTTTAAAATAGCGAGATTGTGGGTGCATAGTTTTGACAGGCGCTGAAAACTCGCGAGGGCGGAGATTTTGAAAATGTCTTCTATGACGTAACGCTCCGGGGGGCTTCAGCGGTACTCTCAAACTATTTTGTGCAGCCTACGTGCAAAAAAATAAAAAAAAATAATGATCACAATATTTATGATATTGACGGCAAAATGTTGTTTTTACTCAAATACACAACCGCTTTATTAATAGTTTTAAAGCGCTCACACAGGTGCGCCAGAAGATTACTGAACGTGAGGCTGCGGGACTTAGTTCTCCTCGCGGAATCTCTGTCTGCCCCCGAGCTGCTATCCCAAAGGAGCAGCCTCTCTTCGCAGGACGCCGTGCTCCTGTTTCGCCGGACGCATAGAAAACCTAACGGGCTTCTCGTGAATCGGGCACGCCTTCGGAGTGGCCTCAGCCATGAGTAATCGTGTCTTTGTTTGCGAGTTCCCTCTTGACTGAGAAATAAATGTTTGCGTTTTAGAAATAAAAGGCATAGCAAAAAAGAAAGGAAAGAAAATAGTAAATTTTTGTTTTGTTTGGATTTACTTTTAAACTTTTATTGTACCAACCCCAAACTTGCACAAAAATAATCAGCAGGCGTTCAAAAAGAAAAAAAGAAATGTCGGAAAATGTAGAGGAAAAAACGAAAGGTGATTTCCTCTTTTTATGTTGTGGGAGGGTTGGAGAGAAGGAAAGTGAAGGTCGGGGGTTTCTTTTCTCTGCTTGAGGGCAGGCCTTTAAATTCACCTTTTCAGCTTTTTTGTTTTATTTGCTCGCTTTTATATTGGACGTACCTTTGTTTTAGTTTGTTTTGATGCAAAAGCATTAACAGTCTCATGTAGCGAGCCGACGTTTTCAGCTCTGATACCGCGCCAAACGGCGCCTTAAATCCTCTCTCCAAGTGAAGCCTGCTCCCAGCTATGAAACCACGTGCAAAGCTAGCCAACGGCACCGAAATTCCCTGATCCCAGAAGAGTGGAGTAAGCGGGTGAATTTTAGGCTTAGGTCTCATTGGCTGGCCTGTGTCGACGAGACTCCCAAAGGCCGGACACGCAGTGCCATCGAGTGGCCGGACCTTCAAAGACGCTGCGCGTCAGTTTCAACGACCGGCCACCTCATGGCGCTGCGTGTCCGTCGTCGGCAGAGCCGTTTATCGAGAGAGTTTGGCCATACATTGGTTTGAATAGGCAAGCATCTCGGGGCCAACCACAGGCCGCGAAACAGCCCCTAGCGGTGGTCGTGAGCTCTAAATTTGTGACACGACGAATTCAAGCCGTTTTAGCGTCGCTGGAGCTAAAAGGTGTAACTCTCAGTGACGGAAAACTTTGTGCGTGCGAGGTTTTCGTCACGCCAATATTCAAGTGTAGAATAAAGGAACGTGCGCTCCAAACCAGGGCCAACTTCTAGAAACAGCGTCTCAGACCGTGGTCTCAGAAAGAAAACACTGCCAAAGCCAGAGCACGAGCCGAGCGGGACTCCGCGTCTCCAGACGCTCGCGCGCCCCACCCTTTGCAGTGTTTTCTTTCCGCCAGTCACAGGACGCTGTTCTAACAAGCCAACATCAGCAGTGCAGAGAAAGGCATGGGCACGAGCGCGTGGCTTTGGAAAGTGGCTCCTATGCACGAGTTCTCGTACAAACAAAAGCGTTTTGCTGAGCTAGGTTCACGCGCCTGTACCTTTGTCTTCACTGCCGGCATTTGTGAGATAAAGCAGAGACGCCGAGACTGAACGCCTCTATTTCACGCTTCGAATGTCGTTTGCAATATTGTGACGTTGCGGTCTCCTGATTAGTTGACGTTGTGTCAAAAAATTAGTTTACGCTCTAAGCGCGGGGGGAATATTCGGCGCTGGCGACGGCCTTTGCTCCGCCTATTGGCCAAACTCTCCCAATACACGGCTCTGGTCGTCGGTAGAGTTCCTCGATATGCTCCTCCGAACGGGGAGCAGAGTTGCGCATTTGTTTTCCCCGGGCCGCCACGCCGCTATTCGCCGAGACGCATCACGTGAGGAGCAAAGCATTCGGCGGCGTGCAAGAAAGCCACCTTTACGGTCGCTCCGCCGACGTTGCTCGCGCCCCGGCGTTTGTTCCCCTGCTTTCGCGCTAATTCTCCCCCTCTCCTGTTTTCCATGTGCGGCGGCACGCGCGGCGCAGCTACTCGCCAAATTTAGTCACGTGAGGAGCAAAGCATCCAGGGCGTGCAGGAAAGCCGGCGCTACGGCCACCCGCCGAGGCTGATCGTGCAACTCTGCTACAGCAGGTGGCTATATACAGGAACTCTAGTCGACGGGAGCCAGAGGTGCGCGTTCATCACCTTAGCGCCATCTTTCCTGCACGGCAATTTGCTCCCCCTCGTCACGTGACTGAATCCGGCGAATAGCGGCGCCGTGCGGTCGAGGCGCACGGCGCGTTCAAGAGCAGGGGAACGTACGCCGGGGCACGCGCAAAGTGTATTCTCTTGTGCGGCACTTGGTCCGGCTCATCACGTAATCAGATCTAGGCGAATACCGCCGGGCGCCGAGTGGAAAACAGACGCGCAACTTTGGCTCCCGTAGGGACCCTATCCAGGAACTCTAGTCGACGCCGTTGACGCAAATACGCTGCAGAGGAAATAAAAGTGGAAGAATGGTGTACATGCTTTCGAATTTACAACTCATAAGAAATGCTTAGGTGTACCTCGAGCCTGATTTGTGACATTATATGTCGATGCATTACAGAAATTAACTGGTGTGATTTATGGCACGTGCGAGCTCGCATGCGGAGCCCAGATATTGCAGTTGCCAAAGGAAGCTTGCCCCAACGGTTCTATGCACGTAAGTCACAAGAAAATGTTTCCGCTGCCTTCACGCTTTTTTGTTGTTATTTTGCGGGTATTAGTTATACGACAGATGCCCTTTTTTATATATTTTTCAAAAAGGTCTTTAGCTTTGAATTTTGCTTTACTAAGGCCATTACACAATTGTGAACAAAAAGTAAGGGCGCAAACGAGCTGGTGTACATTGCACATGGTTGAAAAAACCCCGAGACTGCGGGTAAACGACACAACACTAAAAGTCTTTAAAGTCTCACAACACTAAAAAGTCTCTTTAGAGACTTTTTAGTGTTGTGTCGTTTACCCGCAGTCTCGGGGTTTTTTCAACCATACACAATTGTGTTGTTCACTAATAACACAAAAGGTTCTTATTGGCTCTCATTTATTTTGTGCAGAGCTAGTAGACGAACCATTTTTTAAATTTGCAAGACCATGCGTCATTCCATCGAATCCCCTGGGAAAGACGTAGTCGGTCATATTTTTGATGTATATTTAGATGATCAGATATTTTCTTATATCCCGTCTATTGACGGTACATAGCACAAAATAATTTTAACGTGCAACAACTGCATAACTTTCTTGACAATTGGTTCATGAAATCGATAACACCTCTTGTATTATACCCAACTCCAAACTCCGAACGAGTCCAAGGTCATCACAGGTACTACGGCAGTAATTCGCATGATCCACATGATCATGTCGACTACTAAAGGGGCTGATAGGAAAAGAAAAGTAACGATCCAGTCACTTTTCCTAAAGCCTCCTAGTGTTACGTTTAGGCAAACAACTCTCTTGACCATGACTGATGGATATAGATGCGGAGGAAATGACCACGTGCAATACCGTCCGTCGTTCAGCCAGGTGATGAGGCATATTCCTGCTTAATATTTACGACCGGTCCTCCCAGTTGGTTTGCTGCAATAATTATTAGAAAGCATTAACTGCCCCATGGAACGAAGCCGGTGTTATCTGATGTCCGTAGCAGTGAAAAACGGCATATAAATTCCCATTGGCTGAACAAAACGGCCAATAAATTCCTGTTAAATGAGCGAAACGGCATATAGATCCCCATCGGCTACAAAGCGGACGGGCCTTAGAAAAAAATGAAATACAAAGCAGAGCACAGCAACACAGATGCCTCGTCACGGAAAGCGGCGCGTCGCTCAAGGTCAAATGGAACGCGCTTTACAAATATAACACAAAGAAAAGCACAGCAACGCAGATGCAGCGTCGCGGAAGCCGTGGAGCCGGCGGAGGTGCCGCGCCTGCGCAATGGGGAGCGTGACTTCACCGCCGGAGCGTCGTGTGACAAACGAAGACGTGGCGCGCTGCTTGCAGGAATGCACTTCGTGTAGGAATGCTTTTGCATTTCTTCACGCAAGCAGTTTGAAGTGTCTTCGTTTAATTTTATTACATAATATTAGAAGTACTAAAGGTGGTTGTATATTTATCAAATATAGGAGCAGGAATAGAAGCAAGAGTATTAGCAGTCGTAGCAACATTAGTGAAAGTAGCGAGTAGCAATATTATCATTTAAAATGCCTTGGAACGATTGGGAAGAAATTATATGGGGACAGAATGCATAAATTACATTTTTTTTACAAATGTTATGTTCGTATTTTGTTAGGTTTTTCATTCTTTGTCAAAAATTTATACTAAACCAACGCGCTCACCTCCAAAGGAACAACATTAGGCTTCGACGTTTTTCTTTTTACGCAAACATACCTGTATTTCTGCTACCTTTTTGTACCTGAACGCAATGCCACTCACCACGAAGCGTCTTTGTGGCTGTGTAATTTCGACGATACGTTTGGACTTTTTCTAACTTCCCCCTCGCCAAACATAATGACATAGTTACGAATATCGTATCGTTGTCGTAGTCGCGGGATTATCTTTAGTAACTATATCCAAATGCAGCTCATAGATTGCACACGAGTACTGCAGGAGCACACGGCTTGCTCTCATGAGAGTCAATGCTTTGAGAAGTATTCGGGTGGTGATTGAAGTCAAGTCACTGCAGCGACGGGAACAGCCGACCCCTAATAACGACTGTAGCCGTGCACTGGAGTTGGCAAGTGCGATGGGCTTGCCAACTCCAGTGCACGGCTGTGATGAATTTTGGGTGGCATATAATCGGCGCCATGCAGAGTCGTATATTGAGAGAGTTTGGCCATATATGGTTTGAATAGGCGAGCATCTCGGGGCCAACCGCAGGCCGCGAAAATGTCCCTAGCGATGATCATCAGCTTTAAAACTGTGACTCGACTAATTCAAGCCGTTTTAGCGTCGCTCGAGTAAGGAGATGTAACTCTTAGTGACTGCAAACTTGGCGCATGTGAGGTTTTCGTCACGTTTATATTCAATGGTAGAATAAACGAGCGTGCGTTCCAAGCCAGGCGGACTCGCTTGAAACAGCGTCTCAGCTGAGACTTCGGGAAGAAGAGTACCAAAGCCAGCGCACGAGCCCAGCGGGACCGTCTCAACCCGAGCCGATTAAACCGCGTCTCGAGAGGCTCGCGCGCTCCACCCTTTGGATTGTTATAATAATAATAATAATAATAATAATAATTTTTAGTTAACAAAAGCAAATACGCAAGATACAGAGACGGGTGTGTCCAAGCCAATGAAGGCTTGACAGACAGGACCCGGCAGTCGAACGACACGGCCGATAGCATCAACACAGATAACCGATACACTTGAGCAGGAAACAAAAATGCAACAGAAACAGAAAGCAGAACAAGCACGGTATAAAACACTCTGACTGCTAAATTGCTCAATAACTTCTTCAATTTTATTTTGTTAATAACTTCACGAAAGAAACAATCGGGAAGTTTATTAAATATGAAAGGGTTATGGTAAGAACGTTCACGTTTACCGTACATTGTAAAACACCGGGGGATCACAAATCGATTCGTTTTGCGCAAATCGCTTGGGGGTACATAAGGTTGTAAAAAATCACTAACCCAAAAGTGTCGTAGAACGACACATTGCACAAAAAAAGAGCGGAAGCTTGGCATTTGTAGGGTTTCAAAAATGTCTGTGTCATCGCAGATGTCCAGGTGGTAACCGACACTTTTTAACAAGTTTTTTAGAACACGGTCAATTTTAGTCTGCCACATTTCCGCACAATTACCAAATACTGTTATGCCGTACCGAATAATGCTGTAGGCAATAGCATAAACAATCGATTTCCTCACTGCAAAAGGCATGAACACTCTGTTATTATAAAGTAAGCAACTTAGGCTACGGAGTCTGCCACAAAGGTAGGAGAAGTGCGTCGCCCAAGAAAGGTCTAAATCAAATTGTATTCCCAAATACTTGACACTCTCTACACAATTCAATGAAGGACACACGCAGCTAACACAATTGGTCCCGTGTAACATAACTGGTGTGTCTAGGTTCACACGCTTCAACGGGTTTTTAAAGAAGACTAGTTTTGTTTTGGAGGTGTTAATTGAAAATAGGTTCTCAGAGTACCAGTCCATTACTTGCTCCATGTCATGTTGCAGAAACTGCACAGCTTGATGAATATCTAGATGAGTGGAGACTATTAGGGTGTCGTCTGCATACTGAAACATTTTGCAAGTGGACAGCCTGGCTGCAACATCATTAACGTAGAGATTAAATAACATAGGCAATAAAACAGAGCCCTGAGGGACACCCGCTTTCAACCCTACTCGAGGACTCTTAAAATGTTCGACAGACACTGGTTGCGAGCGCCCAGAAAAGAAGTTCTCAAGCAAAACATAAAAGGGGCCAAGGAAGCCGTAATTGTAGAGTTTATGAAGTAGGACCTTGTGGCTTACGGTGTCAAAAGCTTTGGCGACATCCAAAAAAATAGTACAAGAGCACATATTACGGTCAAATGGATTGTGTAGTAAATCGGAGAAATACTCGAGCAGAGGTTGTGGGAAAGTTACCTTGCTGCGTGCCCAACCCGGCGGAACAACACGGAGCCAGGATTTCGGAAAACGTGAAGCTACATTTATTAGTAAATTGTAAACATGAAGTTAGTATTAACAAGGTCGTTGGTCGACACCGCCGCAGCGTGTACCTTTCCTTTCGCTCCAGGCCCCGCTTCTCTCTCCCTTGGTCGGCGTCCCCGCTGCTGCTTTTATGCGTTCTTTCACAGGGGGTAACGCCCCCGCGCACTATACACACAGTGGCGCCCCTATAGCGTCCACAAGGTTGAGTGCCCCCCCTGGATACAAAGCCGTACTGGCTGGGCAATAGTACGTGCGAGCTATCAACAAAACTAGACATCACAAGATATAGATGCCTCTCCAAGATCTCCTCCACACATGGCAGGACAGAAATAGGTCGATAGCACTCCGACTTGTCGGCTGATCCTCCTTTGAAAATTGGTCTCACAAGCGAAGTTTTTAAATCAGCTGTGGTAATGCCAGAAATCAGGAACGCATTTACCATGGTAAGTAGGACGTACTGGACGGAACCAAAATTGCGACAAATGTCGGTAACACAGATGCCATCAATACCAGCAGCTTTATTACGCTTTAAGAAAAATAAAATTTAACGCAAAGAAAGTCCGTGAAGAACGGGCAGAAATACAGACGCGGACACTCTATAATCATGACTACACGGGAAGGATGATAAAGCAGAGTCCCTAGACAAACCAGGTGGCGCAGCAAAAAAATTGTTGAGGTCATTGACTGATGATTGTAAGTCAGATCCAGAGTGTTTGTGCAATTTTTCTTCAATAGATGTCTTTGTTGCACACCCCCTAAAAGTGTTTATCAAGTCCCACATTTCACGTGGATTCGACCTTGATTCAAAGAACTTTTTTTGAAAGTAACGACGTTTGGCGGATCTGATAATGGTGTTAGTTTTATTTCTTGCGCAACAAAAAGCGGCCCTCAGTTCCAAGTTGTTTGGAGCCCGACGAGAGCGCAACCACGCAGCATCTTTTTCCTTGATTGCAGTCATTATATCAGTTGTGAGCCAGGGCTTATCGGATCGTTTCTGGAAATTCACCGTTTTCTTCGAGTCACGATAAAAAGACTCTAAAACCTTGACAAAAGTAGTGTACAGATTAGCCGGTTCCACCAAGCTCAAAAATGTAT